CAGAAAGAAGCGAAATAAACATCCCCTGTCTAGGGGTTTGTTTTGTTTTGTTTTGTTTTTTGTCCCATCCTCCCTGCTCTGCAGGATAACTTTTTAGTTTTCCATTTCTGACCCTGGCTCAGGGAGGTGGTAAGAGGCACTCAGCCACCACAGCTCCCTTATTTGGATTGGGTTAGTGAGACATGAGGAATGCCACACAAGAGGCTGTGCCTGAGCAAGAAGAAAGGCTCCTCTGTGCAAATGGCGTTGTAGGCATGAGCTTGGCAGGGAGGACAACACTTAGCTGCAGGGCTATAGTGGTGAGCTTCCCAGCGCAAGAGCCGGGGGGGGGGATCATTGTGAAGGGCAAGGCAAATGTCCAGTTGTGAAAGATCAGTGATATCTTATTGATTCTTTGATGAATCCATAGACATTCTCTTTTTTTTTTTTTTTTTTTTTTTGCAAGCATGGTCTTTAGTAGCTCTTTCATGGTAAACTAGTCCAGGTTTTGCAGCATATTTTGCAAAAGCAATTTAGTAACATGGGGCCTCCCCTCCCTGCAGCACTTGGCTGTGAACTCTTTGCTGGAAGGTGAAGAGAGGCCAGTCCTGGGGATGAGTGAAATGTGCAGTCGGTGCATTAATGGGATTCACAAGGTTCTTCTGTGACTAAGGCATGTTATTTATATACTGCCCTGATCAGAGTTAGAGTGAACTATTAACTTAGCCCAGAGAAAGAAGTAGAGAGGTAGCTACACTGCCTCTGGAGGAGATCTGGGAAGGAAGTGTGCCTTGGATGCACGGTCAGTCCCATCCTGCTTTGTTTGGGGAGGGAAGAAGTTACTACCCCTCTTCCCCCTGCACCTAGTTAATTATTCTGGCTGGTGAGTGCAAGAAACAGGGTGGAACCAGGAGCCCTCTACATCTCTCTTCTCTCTCATCCCTTCCAACTTAGGGGGTATGTCTAGATTACGTGCCTCTGCTGACAGAGGCATGTAAACTAGGCTACCCAACATAGTCAAAGAAGCCGGGATTTAAATATCCCCAGCTTCATTAAAATAAACATTAAACGTCAAACGAGGTTTACAGGAGCGGTTGACAAAGGCTTCCCCTGTTGACCGATCCGTGTCTTGACTCACGTGCTGTGCCGATGATCAGCTGAGCCAGCATAGCGCGGCAGCCATGTTTATTTTAATGAAGCCGGGGATATTTAAATCCCGGCTTCTTTGACTATGTTGGGTAGCCTAGTTTACATGCCTCTGTTGGCAGAGGTATGTAGTCTAGACATACCCTAAAGGGGCAGTATCTGGCATGCACCCTTCTTGTGGCCAGAACTGCAGTCCGCTCAGTCTTTACTTAGCCAAGTAGAGTGCATAGAAGGCAGGGGTACTATTTCCACATGAAGGCAAGCTATGCTTAGCCCTTGGAGAGCAAGAGCCTGGGAACTTTGTATATTGGTGGGGTCTGTTCCCAGCTCTGCCATTGATCTGCAGAGTGACTATTAGCAGGTTGCTGAAGTTAACTAGGACTCAGTCTGCAGAAGAGAAGAGTGAGGGGGGATTTGATAGCAGCCTTCAACTTCCTGAAGGGAGTTTCCAAAGAGGATGGAGAAAGGCTGTTCTCAGTAGTGACAGATGGCAGAACAAGGAGCAATGGTCTCAAGGTGCGGTGGGAGAGGTCCAGGTTGGATATTAGGAAAAACTATTTCACTAGGAGGGTGGTGAAGCATTGGAATGGGTTACCTAGGGAAGTAGTGGAGTCTCCATCCCTAGAGGTGTTTAAGTCTCAGCTTGACAAAGCCCTGGCTGGGTTGATTTAATTGGGATTGATTCTGCATTGGGCAGGGCGTTGGACTTAATGGCTTTCTAAGGTCTCTTCTAGCTCTATGGTTCTATGATTCTATGATTCAGTCTACCCTTCTGTAAAATGGTTACAATCATAACTCCCATCAGAAAGACACTGTGAGGCAGAGGTTTACTAATCTAATTTTATACTTCTAGTGTCAGCCCCCTGAGAGCCTGCCATGAAAAATAAGAAGTGTTTCTGAGCCATGATGCATGAACATTATTTATATCTCCTGCTGCTGTCGAACCTAGGCTTTTGTACAGAAATTCACTTTTATCTGAAAAAAATCTTCCCAACAAGTAGATTTATTGAATAACACATGACACCCACTCATCTGATGATCCTTCTCAGAGGGCTACAGTGAGAGAGATCATGAGACTCTATTATAAAACACGGCTGTAATAATAGTTCAACATGATCTTATGTTTCCCAGAAATGACATGTGCATGTCTTGTACCATCAATGCAGAGCAGTGTTTGTTTAAGGTATATAAAACCAAGACTAATTTAGAAAAGACGGAAGTTCGTGCTTGGCTTCTATATCATGTGAATGAATCTCTCCTCATTAGCCTGCATGTTAATTGAGAAAACAAAAGCTAAGTATCACAGAGCTGTGGAGTGGTCAGCGTAATGCACATTCTCAGAATTCCATGTCCTCGCGATGGGGATGCTTGCTCTGTGGGACTTCCAAGAACAATCCCTCTAGCACGGAAAGGCAATGGGGCCTGACGATGAGAGCACAAGTTCCAGTTGTGCAGATTCCTGAACTCTATTTCATGGGTCAGGGCAGGATACATCTGCACTGCCACTGACAGTGTTGTTGCCAGCCCAGGGGGAGATAACACTCAACCTTTGATTGAGCTAGTGTTGCAGCAGCCCAGGCAATGGCTTGGGGTGGGTACCTGAGTACAATCCTGTCCAAGATTTTGGGTGTGTACTTGGGTGGCTACGCTGAGCTGCTACCTATGCTGCCATATCTATACAGGCAGTCCCCGGGTTACGTACAAGATAGGGACTGTAGGTTTGTTCTTAAGTTGAATTTGTATGTAAGTCGGAACTGGTACATATTGTAGGGGAATTCTAGCCAAATATTTCTCCAGAGCTCAGTTTCATTCTCCCACACCTCACTTCCCTCAGTCCTTTATTCTCAAGCTGAGGTGTTTGCTGAGAAAAGCCGCTCCGCGTCTCCCTGGTCTGCTAGGGGGAGGGGGACGCTAGCTTCGCGTCTCCCTGGTCTACTGGGGGGAAGCAGCTAGTGCAGGGTTGCCTCATCCCGTTTGTAAGTAGGGATCCGATGTAAGTCGGATCCATGTAACCCGAGGACTGCCTGTACTGCTATTTTTTGTGTGCAAGCTCCATCAAAGTGAGTATGTGTGCATTTGTATGAGCTGGAACTCATACCTCCAGCTGCATCGTAGCCATACTCTGCACCTAACCGCCCTGAGTGACTTCATAAAACCCCATTCTACAAAATCTTGCCTTGTCCTTATGTAGGGGCAAAGCGCTAGGGAGGTTCCTTGCCCTCACATCATACCCTCAGATACATGCAATGGGAGCAGGGTGCATTAGATTTAGCATTTCTTTGAATACTAGCTGGGGCTCTAGCGTGAATTTTTGTGACATTTCTATGAAGCCTATTTGTGCCTCAGTTTCCCCATACTTTGCTTTCCTACCCAGAGGTGGGGCAGTGGCAGGATGAAGCTTGTCAGTGCAGGCAAAGTGTGTGTGTGTCACTTAGCTACCTGAGTGGACTGACTGGGTCATTTAAAAAAAAAGGCTGGATAAGGCTAACCCATATCAATGGAAAAATCTGAGAAGACAATGGGAGCAACCAACAAACAACCCAGAGGAAGGAACTTTTCCCCACCTTTCATCAGGGATGCTAAATGGAGATCCCAGCTCAAGAACAAAGGAGTGGGTGGAATGAGAGAGGACAAGTGTGGGCTCTGGGAGAAACTCGGCCTCTCTGATTTTAGAAGTGACTAAAGTCTGGTCTACCCTTGACAATTGTCATCTCTACTGTAGTCCACCTCCCTAGCAGCACAGTCCAGCCAACTCAATCCTCAGTGTGGACAGTGCTGGGTCTGTGGAAGAATTCTTACCTGTGCCAACTAGAGAACCTCAGAGTCTGCAAATGGAGTTCCTCAGAGCTTGGATGGTAAAGTGCGATGAGCTGACCAGAATGGACTCTACTTGAATCTTTCTTTCTCTCTGTTAACCTAAGGACTTCCAATGCTGGGTTCTACCTCATTATTAAACCCTACTCTGTTTGTTTGGAGGGTCACTTTAAGTTTAAGTGGGGTGGAGCTGAAGAATGTACAAGTTTTTACCAGGAGTCTCTCAGGTGGACTCACTGGATGGAGCTCACAGAGTAAACAAGGAATGCAGGAGCCCAGTATCTCAGTCTAGGAGGCAGGGATGCTGTGATGCCTACCCTAAAGGAAAAGTGAATCCCCTTGGCTCTTCTGAGAGCCTGTCTAAAACCACAGCACAGATACAGTAGACCCGTGGCACGGGGCTATTTTAACAGGAACGCTCCAGACTCCAAATGCATATTACCAAACAATTTAGCAGCATGGGCAGACATTAGTTTTGTACCTATTTCTTCTATTGTAATGAGATGCATATTACTTCTTTTTGAAGCAGTAATCAGGGGCTTTACATGGAACAGCATGTTGATCTCAGGACCTATGTGAATCATGCAGCCCTTTGCCTAACCACAGCTGCCCTATTCCCCACAGTGCATTTTACACTTGTAAAGCTAGAATTTTGCCCTTAGCTTCTCTAGTGCTTTTATTTTCCCATCTGTAAAATGGGGATAACATTTATATGCCCTGTAAAGCCTGCTAAAGTCCTCGATATTTTCCCTTAGATCTGGAAACCTACTGGATTGATCAGACTCTGGCATAATATCTGAGCTTATGATAAAGTTACTACGTTTTCTTGGACTCTTGTCTTATTAAACTCTTTCTGCTCTCCACAGCCACTGGCATTTTCACACAAATGAGTCTATCACTCTATATTATTGTTTAGATGAATTGTAGCTTGCCAGATTTACAACATTAAGCTCCAAGCTAGATAATGTTCTGCCAGAAAACATACAGGCAGTTGAAATATTGATTGAGCCTGAAAGTGGTGATTCAAATGTTTTTTTTCCCTCCCACCTTCATCATCACAGGTCAGGAAAGGTTTGGAAACATGACAAGGGTCTATTACAGAGAAGCCATGGGAGCGTTTATTGTCTTTGATGTTACAAGACCAGCGACGTTTGAAGCGGTGACAAAATGGAAAGAGGATCTGGACTCTAAGTTGATTCTCCCGAACGGCAAACCCGTGGCAGCCGTTCTCTTGGCAAACAAATGCGACCAGGGAAAAGATGTGCTTGTGAACAACGGTCTCAAGATGGAACAGTTTTGCAAGGAGAATGGGTTTGTGGGATGGTTTGAAACATCAGCTAAGGTAATGTTGACATTTCTTTTTTAATGAGAAGCATTCCCCAAATGCTTTAGCATTAACTGCTAAAATAGGTTACTCAGTGGCAATGTCAACCATGCACAGCTCTTATTTCTGATGAATCAATGAAGGGTAAACTTATAAAAACACTTTTAAGAAAACAAGACCTTTTTAAATATAATGTATGGGATCATTCCTCTCAAAGGATCCAAAAGCATTTTCAAGCCATTCTGAAATGCAGTCACTACTAAGGGTGTATCGCAGGCACAGCATCCTGCACAACAGTGTCAGAGGAAGAAGGCATGTTTGCAATGACCAAAAAGCTCTTCTGATGAAAGATACCATGAGTTCCTTCATTCCCACACACAGAAGGGACAGTCTTGTGGTGAACTAGAGCAGTTCTAAGTATTTGGTCTGAAAGATCTGAGTTGTCAGGTTCTCACACGGAGAAAAAGTTTGGTGCTGTGGTAAAAGAATGAACCACGTGAAAGCCACTACACAAGTTGTTGGCAGTGCAATTTGCTAAGCTATCAGACTTCATAGTCTTTACTTTGTTAATAAGTAGACCACTAAACTAGTTGAGTAGGCTACTTTAAGGCAGTGCTTCTCAACCTTTCCAGACTACGTGCCCCTTTCAGAAGTCCGATTTGTGTTGCGTGCCCCCAAATTTCACCTCACTTAAAGTGTCACAGCACACTATTACTGAAATTTTTTTTTCATTTCTCATTCTTACCATAGAATTATAAAATACATCAATTAGAATATAAATATTGTACTTACTGTTCAGTGTATAGAGCAGAATAAACAAGTTGTCGTCTATATGACATGTTAGTTTGTACTGACTTTGTCACTGTTTTTTATTCAGCCTGTTGTAAATCTAGGCAAATATTTAGATTAGCTGATGTATCTCCTCTGTGTACCCCAAGGATATGTGTACCCTGGCTGAGAACCATTACTTTAAGGGAATCAATTTGGCCAAAGTCTGTAGCATGTCTTACTTAATAAAAGTATTTTTCCAGTGCTAAAATTCCTTGTATACCCAGGGCTAGATGCTCAGTTAAGGTAAGTTTGTGTAGCTCAATTGAAGTCAGTGGTGCTCAGCTTAGAGATGTGAAAGACTAGTCGACTATCTGATAAGCAAATACTTATCAAATAGTCAACAGGATAGTCAACTGGTCCCTCTGCCCCCTTGCTGCCTCTATTTGATAGAGGCAGTGAGAGGGGAGGGGGAGAAAAGGAGGGTACTTCAAAGCTGCAGCGCCACATGGAGCCTGTGGTCAGCTGCTCCATGCGGTGCTGCCGCTTTGAAACACTGTTGTGGCATTTCAAAGGGGCAGTGCCACCCTATCAACTAATTAAATAGTCGATGCAAAAATGCATCGACTATTCGATTAGTCAATTACACAATACTTAACATCCTTAGCTTGGCTAGCTTATGCTAGGTGAGTAACTGGCCAGTAGAGTCCACTGTTTCACTCTTGCTAGTGGTGGCTATAGTTCAATAGCATCTGGTTTCTTATGGTATTTTGACACATCCATATCCAGGCTAGACTGGAAACCAAGAGAATAAAAAGCATGAAAGAGAAACATTATCTATTTTTTCAATAAAATTGTTTAAATTACTTTCTGAAGAAAAGAACAATTCAAAAAGTCTGGGCTCAATTATGAAAAGTAGCTAACTTTAAATTCCCTGACCTCAAAGTCGTACAAATAAATATCGGGGGAACAGATGAGCCAAGACATTGATTTTTAGAATATTGTGCCTTTCTCAGTTACATAATTCTAGGTTATCAGTTCAGGCCAGCAAAATCATTGATTTGATTGTTGGTGTTTGACCTGCGAGAAATGAGTTAGTGGTGTCAATCTGGTTCCAAGAGGTTAGGTGTCTATTCAACATATTCATAAATGATCTGGGAAAAGGGGTAAACAGTGAGGTGCAAAATTTACAGATGGTATAAAACTATTCAAGCTAGTTAAGTCCCAGGCAAACTGTGAAGAGCCACAAAAGAATGTCTCAACATCGGGTGATTGGGCAACAAAATGTCAGATGAAATTCAATATTGATAAATGCAATTATGCATAACAAATGATGGGGTCTAAATTAGTTCTTACATGTCAAGAAAGAGATTTTGGAGTCATTGTGGATAGTTCCCTGAAAACATCCATTCAATGTGCAGTGACAGTCAAAAAGGTAAACAGAATGTTGGGAACTATTAAAAAAGGAATATATAACAAGAGACAAATATGATATTGCTTCTATATAAATCCTTGGTATCCCAGAATGGCTTTTCTGTATGAGGAGAGATTAATAACACTGGGACTTTTCTGCAGAAAACAGACCAAGGGGAGATATGATTGAGGTCTATAAAATCATGACTCGTGTAGAGACAGTAAATAAAGAAGTACTATTTTCTCCTCATAACACAAGAACTAGGGGTCCTCAAATGAAATTAATAGTCAACAGGTTTTAGACAACAACAAAAAAGGAAGTATTTTTTCATACAACACACAATCAACCTGTGGAACTCTTCCCAGAGGATGTTGTGAAGGCCAAGACTATAACAGAGTTAAAAAAAGAACATGGAGGATAGATCCATCAATGACTATTATTAAGCTAGATAGGGATGGTATCTCTAGTCTTTGTTTGTCAGAAAGTGGTAATGAGTGACTGGGGAGGGATCACTTGATTATTACCTGTACTATTCAGTTCCTCTAGGGCACCTGGCATAGGCCACTGTCTAAAAACAGGATACTGAGCTAGACGGACTTTTGATCAGACTCATTATGGATGTTCGTATGTTTGAAACACTTGGAGGAAAGGAAGGTGATCAAGATCAGTCAACACCAAGGGCAAGTCATGCCTGACCAACCTGATTGTCTTCTATGATGAGATAACTGTGAATACGGGGAAAGTGGTGGAAATGATATAGCTTGACTTTAGCAAAGCCTTTGAAACAGCCTACCACAATATTCATGCCAGCAAGTGAAAGAAGTATGGCTTGTATGAATGAAGCATAAGGTGGATAGAAAACTGGCAAAATCATCAGGCTCAACAGATAGTGATCAATGGCTTGATGTCTGCTTGGCAGCCAGTTTCAAGTGGAGTGCCTCAGGGATCAATCCTGAGGCCAGTTTTGTTTGACATCTTAATTAATACGCTGGGATGGATTTCACGCTCTGCAAATTCTCAGATGACACTAAGTTGGGGTGAGAGGTAGATATGTCGGCGGGCAGAGATAGGGTCCAGAGTGGCCTAAACAAATTGGAGGATTGGGCCAAAATAAATCAGATGAGGTTCAACAGGAACAAGTGCAGAGACCTGCACTCATGACAAGAATCTCATGCACTGCTACAGGCTGGAGACCAACTGGTTAAGTGACAGTTTGGCAGAAAAGGACTCGGGGCTAACAGAGAATGAAAAGCTGGATATGAGTCAACTGAGTGCCCTTGTTGCCAAGAAGGTTAACAGCATATTTGGCTGCATTAGTAGGAGCATTGCCAGCATATTGCCATTCCCTCTATTTTGGCACTGTTGAGGCCATCTGATCTGGAGTATTGCATCCAGCTTTGGGTCCTCACACTACAGAAAGGATGTGGTCAAATTGGTGAGTCCAGCAGAAAGCAATGAAAATGATTAGGGGGCTGTGAGGACAGGCTGAGGAAACTAGGCTTACTTATTCTGCAGAAGAGAAGAATGAGGGGTAATTTGATAGCATCCTTCAGCTACTTGAGAGGGGAGGTTTCAAAGAGGATGGTGCTAGACTGTTTTCAGTGGTGGCAGATAACAGAACAAGGAACAATGGTCTCAAGTTGCAGTGTGGAAGGTCTAGACTGGATATTAGGAAAAACTATTTCATTATGAGGGTGGTGAAGCATTGAAATGGGTTACTTAGGGAGAAGGTGGAGTCTCTATCCCTAGAGGTTTTTAAGGCCAGGCTGGGCCCACCACACACTGCTCCAGCCAGGCTGGGAAGGTTCTGCCATACCACACCATGGGTGGGGCCACCAGTTAACTGGTACCATGGGTAAGCAAGCTGGTAAGGTGAATGCTTACTGGGTAACTGGTTAACCCTTTATGTCCGCAGTGCAACCCCATCTCAGAGGGGGGAGAGCTAGCAGGATTCCCTGCGACCGGGATCAGCTTGGTTCTTCCATGAGGGCAGGAAACTGGACTTGATGGCCTCTCTAAATCCCTTCCAGTTCTAGTATTCTATGATTCTACGATTCTATGAAATCATTCCAGCCAGGGCTTTGACAAGTATGGCACAGCAGGGAGTATAGGGGTGATGGTGGGGGTGTGCCTCTACCTCCTTCTCCCCCCCCCACCTTGAAGTGAGTGAGGTAGTCTCCAATGACACTCTGCTGCCTGATCTTTTCAGCTGTTTTAGGTGATTTGGGCAGCTTGGCATGCTCCTCCTTGTCTGAGCCATGCTTCTTCTCTGACTGTGGCTACCTCACAGGCTTTGTACTTGGCCTTGCTGCTTGGAGCAGGGAGTTGGAGTAGATGACCTCCTGGGGTCTTTTACAACCCTAAATGTCTGTGGTTCTTTTAAAAGAGGTTGGATTTTAGTTAATTCTAAATTAGAGTAAACTCTGGTTCAGATCTCATATGTTCAGATCCTACATCTCTACTAGCCAAATAGTTCCCAATGCATAGGTTCAAGCCTTGTTGAGGTGTGGCAGAAATCACTATGACTGCGTTTTGCATCCTGCATCCATGTTTAAGTGGACAACCAATTATTATTTAATGGGCAGTGGGCATAACACCTATCATTTCTATCTTTTGCACCCAGAAACAAATGGATGAAGATTTGATGTCTTGCAATGTTCAGGTATTCCTTACTCCCAAATGGGATTAGACACAAAAGTGCCACAGGTATCCTGAGAAGCTGTTCTTTGTAAAGTTCCACACCAGTTTTTCAGGCTTAACTGGTACAAATAATTCAGATAAATATTGTCCTTGAGTCTGAACTTTGTGAACCTAATTGATTCACCTTAGGACTGTA